ACACACACACACACACACAGAAAGTTGACTACTGTCATTCATTCAGTATGTAGCTGATGAGCACTTGCTTAGTGCTTGATTCATAAACTTAAACACATTTAGATTTCTCAACCTGTAAAAGTTCGGTTACACAGGTATGAATTAACAGCAAGCCTCTGCTCACAATTTCAAAGGAAGATTGATCTGTGGGTTTGGTGCTTTGGGGTTTTTTTCCCCCTTATTCTAAGAATGCCCAATATTTTTTGTGAGTTCAGTTGAGCATAGGTAAGTTGTGAGAGCTTAGGGAAAGCACCCCTGTCTATGCCTTAGTTTGCTCATCTGTATTTAATATGGAAGGTCTCCTTCCATCCTAGATTTTTCTGTGGCTTTTGTCTCTTTGCATTTACTAGAAAGTTGTGACTCCATCTGGTTAAAAAATTTATTATGAGCTATTTATTTAACTTAGGTGTAAAATTAAAGACCTGTAGACTTACTACCTTATTCTATAGGGACCTTGGGGTATTAATTTTTAATTTTTAAATTTAATTCTAGGCTATACCCCAGCTTTGGCTTGTGCTCCCAATAAGGATGTGGCTGACTGCCTGGCTCTCATTCTGGCCACCATGATGCCTGTCTCGTCAAGTAGTCCTTTGTCATCCCTGACATTCAATGCCATTAACCGTTATACCAACACCTCAAAAACAGTTAGTTTTGAAGCCTTGCCTATCATGAGGAATGAACCTAGCTCCTATTGCAGTTTCAACAACATTGGTGGGGAACAGGAGTACCTGTACACTGACGTGGAGGAGCTCAACGACTCTGATTCTGAGACCTACTGAGAAGCTGAGCCTGAGGAAGGACGAGTTCTGACACTAAGGCTTCAAACTGTGCTTTTTCAGGAAAAAAGCACTTAATTCATATACAAATTCACCCTGAAGAAAGATCACACAGCAAATGAACACACGCTGACACTAGGAAGAGTTTTAAAGGCAAGTTTTGCAAAAGGAACTTCTAGAATCTTAATAATGACTTGACCAGAGGAAAACACACTGATGTCAAATTGCTATGTGGAATTGTTTGATTTGGCTTTGCCATGCCAGAAATAGGGATACTGCTCCCTCACCTGCTTATATAAGCAGCACTATTGTAAAGAAGAGATAAGGACAGTAGATTTAAATTTTACCAATAAAATTACAACTAAAATTTAAAGGCAATAAAAAGTTTGGTACAGTAGGCATTATGTACACACCAAATTGCCAAAGGACCAAAATAACTGAAAGTTTTTTTTTTTTAAATATAGAATGCTGTTTCGTGGAAACCGGAGTAGGTGAGATGAGACATTGTCTAAAGCAAACTTCAATATTTCTGAAAATGAAGCCAAGATTTTGATTTAAATGTTGATTTTTATAAAGAAAACATCTGAAAGCCTTCCAGTACTGTATTAAACCATGAGAGAAAGCAGATGTATTTTTACATTTTTCTTTTACATAAAAAATTTTAAAACTCCAGTTTTTATAGAATCGAAAACCAGCTGACTAAGTGCAGTATGGATGAGAGTTCTTGTGACAAAGACACGGAGTGAATTGGGGTCAGGGCTGTTGCCGATTTGAGTGGTTTGATTTTAAATTGAATATTTTTTGTTTAAGAATTTCTTAGAAAAAAATTGATGAAATTAAAAGCAGATTATTTCACCCTGTTACAGCCCAGTGGTCCTGGGACAGACTGTTTCAGCCTCTAACTTGGGGTGAGCATGCCTTCATCACTCGGCCACCTCTGTGCCTCCACAATGGGTTGGAGGACTTTTGTTGTCATTTGTTTTAGTCTTTGAGTTTTGAAAACAATGAAGAATCACAATAAAAATTTTTAAGCCCTTGTTCTGATTTATAAGGTAAATATTATCAAGTCTCTTGGAAGGCATTTCTGTATTGGGCAAGATTTAAAATATTAAAGAGTTTAGGTCCTATTCAGATTGAGAGTAGCATGTTTGTAACTTGTTACTGTTTGGAGAGATTGCCTGCCAAATTGAAGACTGCCTTTCAAGTAATAGAGGGAAAAGGCTGACATTTAGGCTTTTAAGTAACACTTTCCATGGTTCTGCTTTTACTGTAATTCTCACTTTCCCAGGAAAAATTATTTCACATATGTAGGGGTCTTACAGGTCTGAGTAAAGTCCAGTACATTGCAGCAAAATGATACCCAATTTCATCCTATCCTTTTTGTATTGTGAAACTGGAAACTTTATGACATTGTAAATTATCAGCTGGTTTTTCTGAATATAAAGTGTGAAAACACAGAACAGTATTTTGATCTATTTGATAATTTTGTGGGGTTTTTGAAGAATTAATGAGCATGTATATAGGAATAGTGACTGCTTGAATACTGTATTTACTTGCACTCTTTCAGTACATCCAGATTCCTGTATATTTTAGAGTATAATAAAACACAGATGTGAGTTGTATTTAATGAATAATGTATTTGTATCTGTGCATATTACCTAAAAATCTATAAAGTTTCTAGGGCATTGACTACTAGATTTTAAGCATTTTTTCTAAAATATTTACAAAAAATATAAATATAATCTCCATCTTTTCTTTATACTATAAAGAAGTCATACTGAACCCTTCCTAATTATTAGTGGTGGAAGGGTAAATACACATTTTAAAGACAGTAGATTACATTTTCTATTGTACCTTTTGAAAAAAGAAAACTCAAGAGGATTGTAAAAGTATACCATATGTGTGCTTTCTCTCTCCTTTTAGGAATTCTCTTCGGAATTCCCTGAGGGAATTTTCTAGAATCTCAGAATTGAAAGAGACCTGAGGTTCATCCAATCTAACCTCTTAACAAATGCAGGAGTCCCTTCTCCAAGGGTGATCTTTCCACCTTAAATTCTTACAGTGACTCTACCTCACCAAGCAGTCCATTCAGTGGTTGAGCAGCTCTAATTGTTCAAAAGGTCTTCCTTAGATGGAGTTGAAGCCTCCCTCCTGGTAACGTCTGTCCTTGGGCCCAGCTCTGTCCTCAGTGAGAATGTTGGAAGGGTGACTCTCCCACTCTCTGCCATGTCTTCTCTTTCACAGGCTGTTTGACTCCTTTGCTGAATTGCTTTTTCAGAAGGACTCATTAGACTGTTAAGAGTTTCAACATCTAATGAAATCCAAGGTGTAGCTATAAAGTGACAAACTCAATTTTTAATTTATCCTCATACATATCAGAATGCAAGTCCTGCATCACTATTTAAATGATGCTGTAACAAAACACTTGGGAGGTGGTTCTTGTTACTGCCAGCCACCTAAGAAAGCTGTTCCTTTGCTTTGTGGTAGTCTGTCCCTGACTCAGGCAACCTACTTTCTTTAGTGTATACCTGATATGGGAAATTGCAGAGTACTGTCCCAGAGAGTATTGAACGACACCAGTATTTGGAATAAGTATGTGGACTGCTTGAATGAGCATATATAGCATAGTAAATTACTTTATAGCTACACCTAGTGTGTGAAAGCATTCAGGCCTGATTCTGTAGTTTGTCCTCACACAGAAGGGAAAAGCCTGTTATCTCTCTTAACTTCTGCATGAAAGGTGACATCTGAAATATGTGTATTATAATACCAGCTTTTGCTCAAAAACATCTTTGAGGAAATAGTGGTGATAGCAAGGGACTTCCTTTAAAAGAGAGTCAACTGAAACAGTGCCATTTAGTTCAGGACATCTCTAAATGTAGCTGTGAACTTGGGGGTTAATCTGGCTTCTCAGATGGGATCTTTTAAATGAAATAAAGTTTTTTTAATGCAACAAATCAAGTGTCTTTCTTTTTTACGTGTACAGAACTTTTCCTAGTGTTCAGTTAGGACAGGTTTTTAGACAAGATTTGGTAGGCTTATTGGTTTGTTTTCGGGTCTCTTTTGGCCCAAGCTGGCCTTGAACTCCTGGTCATCCTGTCTCTACCTCCAAGTGCTATGATTACAGGTATGTGCTGTGCCATCATGTCCAGCTCTGTTTTCGGTTTTTAAAAACTCACTAACTTTTCAGTAAAGCTGTTTTAGATTTTAGAACTTAATCAAGTGAATCAAAATGTATTGATTCAACAAATATTTATCGTTCATCTTCTGCTGAGAGAATGTACAGAAAACCTCGAAATGGTGATAGTTACCTTTAGAAACTTCTAGTTTCATCATGGAAAGATGAAAACAAAGTGATTTAAAAAAAAATGTGATCAAGATAAACTGCTGAGGAAGGCTTGGAACAATATCATGCTGAGAAAGATCAGAACAAGCTTTGTGGAGGAAGTGGCATGGAGCCTGGACATTTGGGAACAAGTCTGATTTAAAAAGGTAAAAAGGGGGCATGTCCTAGGTTCAAGAGCAAAGTCAGCAGATTTTGTAAGGTTTGCAAGAGGGGCATTTGAGTTGCTTATCAACACTTAGTATTCCTCTGTGTACAAAGATCATAAAAACAACTATACAGAGTTTGGATAGCTAAAGACAAATGGATATAAATAGCTGGTTGGAGTGGCAGGTGAGGGAGGCTTTAATAATCTTTATTAAAATCGTCTCTGCAGGTAACAATCTTAAAAAATGTCAGTACAGCATTTATCATGTACCAAGCAAAGCTTGTAAATACTGGAAATGCATCGTCTCTTGATCCCCACAACTGTCTTATAAGGTAGGTACCTGTTAATAGCACTTAGCATGAGGAGGGAGAGATGAAGTAACTTTTGGCCAAGGTCACCCTGGTTCAGCCTGTGAAACTTAGATTCAAATGCAGGCAGGCATTCTTTGCCCTCCACTCCTTCATGAGCTATGACATGCTTGGGGGTCCTTGTTGAAGTCTGTGATTTCATGTTAGCTCAGGTACTTGACATTCAGTCTTATTCTCTTAGATCACTGCAGGACAAACATGGGAAATGGATCACAACAGATGTTCACTGAGCACCTGCTACTTGCAGGGGAACTGAGGAGCTTGGTGTAGTGTAGAACAGTCAAGAAGGATCTTTTACAGTGGTACAGTAGATCCAGAAAGCCCAACATCAGCTGTCTTAAGCATCCTTGGTCCCTTTGCAAGTTGTTTGACATAGGCTTATCTGAGTGACTTTGCTTCAAGCTGGGGCTTCAGCAGGGCTTTGTCATCTCTTAGAGACCTTCAGTCTGCTTTATCTGTGTTCAACCCTTGAACGTGGGTTGGAATATAGAAGTTACGTTTTAGTCAGGGAGTCAAGAAAAACTCCAGATAATTACTTGGGAGGGAAAAGTTTGAGAGTTTAAGAGTCCTTGAAGATAAGAAAGGTTGCTTGTTCACACACTAAAGGATTACACAAGCATTTCTGGTGTAAGGTGCTGCAAGATTCTGCTGAGTAAGTGGAAGAATGTTGAAATAACAGACTCAGAGCAGGAAAAGAAGATGGAAAGAATGAGCTCATCCAAAGGCAGCTTGAGGGTTATGAGGTCTTCCAGCAAGTCACAGCTTAGCCCAAAGATCATTTGTCCTCGGCTTTTTTTTTTTTTTTTTAATGTGTGTGAGTGTATTGCCTGCATGTATGTAAGTGCACCCATGTTGTGCAATGCTCAGGAGGCCAGATGCCCTGAAACTGGAGTTACAGACAGTTGTTAGCTGCCATGTGGGTGCTGGGAATCAAACCCAGGTCTTCTACAATATCAGCCAGTGCACTTAACTGCTGAGCCATTTCTCCAGCCCCTTTGCTTTTTTTGTTGAGTTTTGTTGTTATTTTGTTTTGTTTTTTGGTTTGGTCTGTACTGAGGATTAAACTTAAGGCCTCACATAGACTTTAAAAAAACACCACTAACTCAGGGCTGGAGAGATAACTTAGTAGTTAAGAGCCCTGGCTGCTCTTGCAGAGGACCAAGGTTCATTTCCCAGCACCCACATGGTGGCTAACAAATGTCTGTAACTCCAGATCCAGGATATCACATACCCTCTTCTGATCTCTGTGGCATTGCACGCACAACATACACTTACATACATGCAGGCAAAACACTCATATAAAAAACAAATTAAAAAAAAAAACTAGTCCAAATATTTTTCCTCGTTATAAATGCTGTGATATATTCTTAAACTGTAAGAGATTTAGAGAATAAGCACTTGTATTCACTTCCATTCAGTTCTTTTACATGGTGTTATATGTTTTAATATTCAGTGTTTCATGAAAACATGTTTTAGATATATTAAAAAAATGCTTCAGGTTAATTTAAACATTAAATTTTGACAAAAAGAATTAAAAACATACACTATACTCACAACACACTTAGACATACATACACTGCTGTCATTCCTGAAAAAAACAGCTTAAATGCATATTACCAAGTGAAAGAAGCCAGAAAGGCTGCACGCACTGTAAGAGTCCAACCATATATTTTGGGAAAGGGACATTTCTGGAAAGACAGCAAGATCAGGAGCGGAGGGACAGGGAAAGGAAAGGCAGCGCACGGGGTGTTTGAGATGGCAGAACAGCTCTAATGCTGTGGAGAGAGCTGCTCAGAATCCTGCTTAGAGATCATAAAGGCACTAAAATTGGTCTTGTATTTCTCCAAATCTATAACTGAATAAAGTTATTTTTAAATTTATTTTTATGTGTAAAACTGTAGCCTGCATGTATGTAATTGCACCCATGTTATTCATTGCCCATGGAGGCCAGATGAGAGTGTCAGATCCCCTGGAACTGGAGTTACACATGGTTGTTAGCCACCATGTGGGT